AAAAAAAAAGAAAAGCAAATTTGCAAAGTTTTTCTGGAAAAAAAACACATATTAAAAAAAAAAGAAGAAATTATTGATTATAGCTCAACAATTTTTACTGCAATTTTACCGAACACTTTGGAGAAGAGTTGGGCTAGTCGAATTACTGATTGGCAGGAGGACCAAATTAAAACTAATACTATTTATGATTTACATAGTGATTTTTTTGAAAAATTTCCGGTAAATAATGTATTTCCCGAAAAAAAAACGAATTTTTTTTATAAAAAGGCAAAGATTATTTTAAAGGGAAAGGTATCTCAAAAAATTAATAATTTAAAAAAATCAACCTCTAGAAATAAACAAGCCTTTTTTCAAAAATATAAATTGTTTTTAATTTATGAGAAAATTTCTTTTAAAAAAGAAGAATTCTTAAAAATAAAAATAAAAACTTTGAAGTTTTTGAATTTTAAAGAAGTAGAGAAAAAAAAATCGGTCCAAAATTCAAAATCATATTCATCTGGTATTTTGATTAAAAAAAATAATTTTTTAAAGAATGAAACAATTGTATGTGGTTTAGGTTTTAAAAGACCTTTGGTAAATCAAATATTTTCTCGGGATCTTTTTTATCAGAGATCAAAGCAATCAGTTAATACAGTAGGAAATTCTAAAAAGGAAATACTATTTAGTAAAATACAGAAAAAACTAATATCAAAAGCACCGGCTCTAATTTCAACTTATTTTTTAAACAAAGAATTTAAAACAAAAAAAAGTTTTGGGAAAAAAATGCCGATCATATTTAAATTTATCCACTTTAGAACAAAATTTGAAAAGTGGACAAAGCAATTTAATCCTTTGGGTGATATTTTTATACTTGGAGAAAAATTTAAAAGAAAAAGCAATCGTATTGTATACTAATAAATTATTAATGCGTTTTACAAAATTTTTTTTAGTTCATAGGTTCTATAAGAATATATCGTAATGAGATGTATTTCAAATGACACAAGTAAAAGTTTTGTAAGAAATATGAATAGATTCGGCTTCGAAAAACGTATTTACCTAAAATTATTTTATAATTTTTTTTGCTTTTTTTTTTCAAAAATAGGGCAAGATTTTGTTTAAAATTAAAACCATTCTTATTCATAGATTGGATATAAAAATCTTAATAATTTAATATTATTTAAAATTTTTGCACAAGACAGGACTCGAACCTGCGATCTCCGGTTTCGTAGACCGACGCTTTATCCAACTAAGCTACTTATGCTTTTTTTTTGATGGTTAAATTAATTATTAAAAATAATTTTAAAAATTAATTTAAAATCATTTTATAAATCAATCTCTAAGCTTTTTCTACAACTAAATAAATGATTCCCCAGTAAAAAATATTTAAATATTTTTTATAAAAAATTAATCTCAGATTGAAAAAGAAAAAATTTTATTTTCATAAAATTTAAATATTTTTTTACAAAATAAAGATCTAAATCTTTTTATATTACAGAAATCTATTAGTAAGAGGATTCTAGTTTCTCCGCCATGAATTTGCGAAAATATGAAGAAAACGTATATTTGATCTGCTATTATATATTTTCGAAACATTTTGAATTTTAATAATATTCTAGAGGTGGATTTCCTCAGCGTAACCTCTTTTTCGTTTAAAATTTCTGGACTTATGAGCGAATTTTGTGTAAAAAAGTTGAAAAAAAAAAATCGATAAAATCTAATATTATGTTTTAAAATATTGATGCTTAAAAAACTTTTTTTAATTTTTTTTTCTGACTTGCTAATTTCTTTATTACTAGTAAAATTTAAGCAAATCAAAATAATAAATTTTTTGAAGCATTTTTGGTTTTTGTGTTTATACAATATAACTTTATCTAGCATTGTATTATATTTTATCGATTCGATACCATTATTTAAAATTATTTTATTTATTAATATAAACAATAATCTCCAAAAAGTGAAATAGATGTTTTTTTTAAACAGTTTGAAAATAAAAGATAACATAAAATTAAGATCCTTTTCAACTTGAAAAAATTTTTTTTTAAAGGATAAGAATGTATTTGGATGAAAAGTATCCCCATGCTTAAATATTTTTTCTGGTAGAACATAGTCAAAATCAATAATTGTCCATAAAAAACTATAGATTTTAAAAAAACTATTAATAAAAATAATTTGGAATGAAAAGTATTTACACTGAACAATTAAATTTTTATCTTTTAAAAGAAAGAAATTTTTTTTTTCTATAATTTTTTTTGGTAAAAAAATATTTTTTGTAAAAAACATATTTTTAAAATAATCTTTCAGTGGATTTTTTTTAACATATTTGTTAGAATCTACACAAACCATAAGAATTAAATTTTGAGTCAAAAGATCCAAAAAAAAAATATTTAATTTTTCACAAAGAATAAATCCAAAAAAACTAATTGGAAAATTAATCTCTACTTGATCAGAAGAAATCATAATTGACAAATTATAGAAAATATGATTGTTTTCATTCATTTCTAAACAATTTTCATTAAAAACTTTGTTTGATTTATCGTATAGTTTTTCTAATAAAAAACGATATTCAAGAATGCATGACAGAAAAGACGACATTGTATTCGAACAAAAAAAACTGTTATATTTTTTAAAAAATTCCTGTTCAGCATAATAGTAAGCCCTAAAAATTTTTTCGTTCTGATTTTTTTCGTTCTTAAAATTTAAATAAATAAAAATTTTAAAAAAATTTTCACTAAAGGAAAATTTCGAAATTGATTTTTGAAATAAAATTGTTTTTTTCATGATTTCTTTTCTATAAATTTTTAAAGCCTACAATAAAAACAGTATATACAATTTATTAAAATGGGTAAGTAAAAATAAACAAAAAATTATTTTAACTAAATTAATACTGATTTAAACAAAAATTTTTAAATACTTAGGAAAAGTTCACGGATCATTAGCAAGAGCAGGCAAAGTAAAAGGGCAAACTCCAAAAGTGGAAAAAACCGATAAACCGAAAAAACCTAAAGGAAGAGCATTTCAAAGGGTAAAATTCAAAAATAGGTTTCAAGGAGTTTCTTTAAAAAATGGAAAAAATAAAGGGCCTAATTCTAAAAAATAAAAAAATCGACAACAAACATCCTCATTTTTATATATATAAAAATGATACAAAGTAATTCTTGTAAGTATTAAAAATAAAAAAAATAAACATCTGTATATTTTTCTCATCGATTTTTAAGTGGACTTTATTTTTGTTTTATTTTCCGGATTGATTTTAACTGGAATTTTTTCACTGCAAAAAAGTTTAGGGGATATAATTGGGGATGAAGCGGATGCGTCCGCACAGGTAAAAGGTAAACCTGGTGCAGATAAAAAAAAAAAA